GGCACTGTCTTCAAGATGTTACTGGCACTGTCTTCAAGATCTTACTGGCACTGTCTTCAAGATGTTACTGGCACTGTCTTCAAGATGTTACTGGCACTGTCTTCAAGATCTTACTGGCACTGTCTTCAAGATCTTACTGGCACTGTCTTCAAGATCTTACTGGCACTGTCTTCAAGATCTTACTGGCACTGTCTTCAAGATGTTACTGGCACTGTCTTCAAGATGTTACTGGCACTGTCTTCAAGATGTTACTGGCACTGTCTTCAAGATCTTACTGGCACTGTCTTCAAGATCTTACTGGCACTGTCTTCAAGATGTTACTGGCACTGTCTTCAAGATCTTACTGGCAATTGTTCTCGTTAATACTGGCACTGTCTTCAAGATCTTACTGGCACTGGTCTTCAAGATCTTACCGTTCGCTCCTTCGGTTAATACTGGCACTGTCTTCAAGATCTTACCATAACCGTCTTCAAGATCTTACGGGCACTGTCTTCAAGATCTTACTGGCACTGTCTTCAAGATCTTACTGGCAATTGCCTCAAGATCTTACCGGCACTGTTCTCAAGATGTTACTGGCACTGTCTTCAAGATCTTACTGGCACTGTCTTCAAGATGTTACTGGCACTGTCTTCAAGATCTTACTGGTACTGTTCCTCAAGTTAATACTGGCACTGTCTTCAAGATCTTACTGGCACTGCTCAAGATCTTACTGGCACTGCTCAAGATGTTACCGCACTGTCTTTCAAGATCTTACTGGCACTGTCTTCAAGATCTTACCGGCAATTGCTCCTCAAGATCTTTTACCGGCAATTGCCTCAAGATATTACTGGGCACTGCCTTCAAGATGTTACCGGCACTGTCTTCAAGATGTTACCGGCACTGCCTTCAAGAGATCTTACCGGGCAATTGCCTCTCGCTAATACCGGCACTGTCTTCAAGATCTTTACTGGCACTGTCTTCAAGATCTTACTGGCACTGTCTTCAAGATGTTACTGGCACTGTCTTCAAGATCTACTGGCACTGTCTTCAAGATGTTACTGGCACTGTTCTCAAGATCTTTACTGGCAATTGCTTCAAGATCTTACTGGCACTGTCTTCAAGATCTTACTGGCACTGTCTTCAAGATCTTACTGGCACTGTCTTCAAGATGTTACTGGCACTGTCTTCAAGATGTTACTGGCACTGTCTTCAAGTTAATACTGGCACTGTCTTCAAGATCTTACTGGCACTGTCTTTAAGCTAATACTGGCACTGTCTTCAAGATCTTACTGGTACTGTCTTCAAGATAATAGTGGCATTGTCTTCAAGATCTTACTGGCACTGTGGTTCAGCTAATACTGGCAGTGTCTTCAAGATCTTAATGGCACTGGACTCAATGGTGTTAATGGCACTGGACTCAGGGTGTTAATGGCACTCTCTTCACGCTTAGGAGACAGCGTGAACGATCCAATTACCGCCGCCTCTAAGTTTACGACCCCACGCCAATATTTACAAGGGTCCGATACATCATTATTAACACAGGTCCGATACGTCATTATTTAGGTGGGTCCGATACGTCGATATTTAAGTGGGCCCGATATGTCGTTATTTAGGTGGGTCCGATACGTCATTATTTAGGTGGGTCCGATACGTCGTTATTTAGGTGGGCCCGATATGTCGTTATTTAGGTAGGTCCGATACATCGTAATTTAGGTGGGTCCGATACGTCGATATTACAGGAGATCCGACGCACATCATTACTTGCTTTAGGGAAGTTTACAGACACAGGTGATGGATCCTGGGAAAAAATGTCTCAATGCAGTTATGTATTGTGTCTGTTATGTTAAACACACACACACACACACACACACACACACACACACATTCATATTGTTTCAGCATGTACAGTCAGTCCCCTTCACTAGTGCGTTTACAGGGGGTCGTCATAAAAACATTCCATTGAGATATTTGTTTTAATATTGTTTTGATTTGATATCATAGTTTATTTACTATTGCGAATTTCCTTCTGTCGAATGTAAACAAACACTGCACTGCCACACTGCACAAAACCTGACGAGCCCCTGTAAACGCACCAGTGAAGGGGACTGACTGTACAGTATATGGACAATGCATGTATGCCACCAATGGTAAATAGTATTAAGTGTTATATTAAAGTCATGCAATGAAATCGGATGTCGTCAGAATTTTTGGTTTTCGCCACATAAATTTGATAAAAATATTCTTGAACAAAAAATAAGATGTAGGAAGTACTACCGCCTGGGAAGATATTGGAAGCATAATGTGTTGTCTAATGGTAGACCCTGCTACCATATGTGACCAAGTCCCAGGTTGCTGATCTGACTTTCTGCCTCATTTACACACAATTGCGGGGTCTCAATTGTTTCTCTTACTATTGACAACACAACATACATATATTGTTTCTCACTCTTGATCTTTGTTTAATTTTTGTTTTAATTTATTATTATTATTATTATTATTATTATTATTATTATTATTATTATTATTATTATTATTATTATTATTATTATTATATTTTCGCCCCCCAGGCCCTGATGTGGGTCAGTGACCGGTGCTTGCGTGGGCTAATCCCCGTAAAAAAAAAAACCAGACACAGACAAGTTGGCAGCCTTGTAGACAGGCACCCAAGCAGTTAGACAGGCAATATGACAGGCATATAGACTTGTTGGCAGGCTGGCAGAGAAATCTCCTTCTTCACGCGGCTCTCTTAACCTAACCTAATCTAGCAAACAAAATGGCGTCACAACTAACCCGAGACTCTACACCACCTATCACCCTTTGTTGGTCCTATTTAACTTTGGTCTGTCGGACGAAACATAGTGGGTCGTGGACGAAACATAGTGGGTCGTGGACGAAACATAGTGGGTCGTGGACGAAACATAGTGGGTCGTGGGACGAAACATAGTGGGTCGTGGACGAAACATAGTGGTCGTGGACGAAATAGTGGGTCGTGGACGAAACATAGTGGGTCGTGGACGAAACATAGTGGGTCATGGACGAAACATAGTGGGTAGTGGACGAAACATAGTGGGTCGTGGACGAAACATAGTGGGTCATGGACGAAACATAGTGGGTCGTGGACGAAACATAGTGGGTAGTGGACGAAACATAGTGGGTAGTGGACAAACATTGTGGTCGTAGACGAAACATTGTGGTCGTGGACGAAACATAGTGGGTCATGGACGAAACATTGTGGGTCGTGGACGAAACATAGTGGGTAGTGGACGAAACATAGTGGGTCGTGGACGAAACATAGTGGGTCGTGGACGAAACATTAGTGGGTAGTGGACGGAAACATTGTGGGTCGTGGACGAAACATTGTGGGTCGTGGACGAAACATAGTGGGTCGTGGACGAAACATAGTGGGTCATGGACAAACATTGTGGGTCGTGGACGAAACATAGTGGGTAGTGGACGAAACATAGTGGGTCGTGGACGAAACATAGTGGGTCATGGACGAAACATTGTGGGTCGTGGACGAAACATAGTGGGTCGGGTTACTTTGGCCTTACCGGTTGTTCAGGTCTTGTGATTGAATATAAACGAGATCCAGTTTACTTGTGCTAAGGCTTGTGAGTCATCGATCTGTTACGTGTGTGTGTTTGTGTGTGTTGAAGGTTCGTGATTTAACCTAATCTAACCCCCAGGCAGGTGAAATAAGCTGGGGGCGAATCATCAGGCGGTAAAAATATTATTCTAATTTTAAACACATACATTATTTAGTCTAGTAGTTAACATTTGTTTAGAATTAATTGAGAATTTGTTAAAGTTCATTTAGTTAGATTTAATGTAGAGGTTAGTTAGGCTTTATGTAGAGTTAGTTGGGCTTATATAGAGTTAGTTAGAATTAATTATGTTGGTCAGAATTGAGAGTTAGGAATTTAATTGCTAGTTAGTTAGAATTAATTTAAAGTTATTAAATGCAGGAGACAATTTACAATATAAATTAATTGTCAATTTGTTATAGCAATAAAGGGCTGTGTTGTGTGTGTGTGTGTGTGTGTGTGTGTGTGTGTGTGTGTGTGTGTGTGTGTGTGTGTGTGTGTGTGTGTGTGTTGCCCGTCTTCTCTACCTCTCTTCTTTTCTCCTCCTCTCCTCCTCCTCTTACCCCCCCTCCTCTTGCTCCCTCATCTCCCCCTCCTCTTCCTCTCCCTCCTCCTCTCTTCCTCCCCTCCTCCTCTTCCTCCTCCCCTCTTCCCCTCCTCCCCTCTTCCTCCTCTCCCCTCTTCCTCCCCTCCTCCCCCCTCCTCTTTCACCCCCCTCCTCCTCTTCCCCTCTTCCTCCCTCCCCTCTTCCTCCCTCCCCTCTTCCTCCCCTCCCCTCCTCTTCCTCCCTCCTCTCCCCCCTCCACCCCCCTCCTCCTTACCACCTAACCTAACTAACCCCTAAGCAGGATAGGGGCCAGTGTTAAGTAATCCCACTTGAGCATTACAAGAAGTGGACCAATTCTCCTTGACTACAGCCTTTCGTGTTCCCTGATCTGTCGTGGTGGAGAGAAGTGACGGTCTTTGATAACTGGGTCCTGTTAGTGTGTGTGTGTGTGTGTGTGTGTGTGTGTGTGTGTGTGTGTGCGTCCCCCTGTACTTATAAGGTGTAAAAAAAAAATTTGAGTCCTGCAGCTGTGTTTACTAGCGTGTGTCCCAGCTCCTAGTCGGGTGATAGATAGATAGATAGATAGATAGATAAACATTGGTAGATAGATAGATAGATAGAGAATTCATCACCATAGCAATAAGCACATTACCAACTTTATGGTGTAATATAGTGAAGTTTATGACTCAGGCTCCGTATATGATCACAAAGGCTCCTACCAGGCTCCGTGTATGATCACAAAGGCTCCTACCAGGCTCCGTATATGATAACAAAGGCTCCTACCAGGCTCCGTATATGATCACAAAGGCTCCTACCAGGCTCCGTATATGATAACAAAGGCTCCTACCAGGCTCCGTATATGATCACAAAGACTCTACCTGGCTCCGTATATGATCACAAAGATTCTACCAGGCTCCGTATATGATCACAAAGGCTCCTACCAGGCTCCGTATATGATAACAAAAGGCTCCTACCAGTCTGTATATGATCACAAAGGCTCCTACCAGGCTCCGTATATGATCACAAAGGCTCCTACCAGGCTCCGTATATGATCACAGCGTCTTACCAGGCTCCGTGGCGGCGATCACAAAGACCTTAACAGGTTCCGTATATGACTGGCTAAAGGCCCTACCACAGGCCCGGCATATGATCACAAAGACTCTACCAGACTCCGTATATGATCACAAAGGCTCCTACTAGGTTCTGCATATGATCACAAAGGCCCTACCAGGCTCCATATATGATCACAAAGATTCCTACCAGGTTCAAGATATGATCACAAAGACTCCTACCAGGCCTGTATATGATCACAAAGACTCTACCAGGCCTGTATATGATCACAAAGATTCTACCAGGTTCAGATATGATCACAAAGGCTCCTACCAGGCTCCGTATATGATCACAAAGGCTCCTACCAGGCTCCGTATATGATCACAAAGGCTCCTACCAGGCTCCGTATATGATCACAAAGGCTCCTACCAGGCTCCGTATATGATCACAAAGGCTCCTACCAGGCTCCGTATATATGCTCAAAGACTCCCACCACGAATACTTCCTGTAGATAGAGTCAAGATGTACAGTCCCCCTCACTACTGCGTTTACTGGGGCTCGTCATATAGCCAAGGTACAGTCCTCTCCAGTAGTGCGTTTACAGGGGCTCGTCATATAGCCAAGGTACAGTCCTCTCCACTAGTGCGTTTACAGGGGCTCGTCATATAGCCAAGGTACAGTCCTCTCCACTAGTGCGTTTACAGGGGCTCGTCATATAGCCAAGGTACAGTCCCCCTCACTACTGCGTTTACAGGGGCTCGTTAGGTTGTGTGGCAGCGCTGTGTTTGTTTATATTCGACTGAGGGAAACTCACAACAGTAAACATACTATGGAATCAAACAATGTTAAAATAAATATCTCAATGTAATGTTTTGTGGAATGTTTATATGACGAGCCCCTGTAAACGCACTAGTGAAGGGGACTGTACCTTGGCTATATGACGAGCCCCTGTAAACGCACTAGTGAAGGGGACTGTACCTTGGCTATATGACGAGCCCCTGTAAACGCACTAGTGAAGGGACTGTACCTTGGCTATATGAAGCCCCTGTAAAGCACTAGTGAAGGGGACTGTACCTTGGCTATATGACGAGCCCCTGTAAACGCACTAGTGAAGGGGACTGTACCTTGGCTATATGACGAGCCCCTGTAAACGCACTAGTGGAGGGGACTGTATCTAGCTATTTGACGTGATATAAAAACACTAACATTCTCTTAACACCATTCAGAGATAAGGTTAATGGTCTCTATAGGGAAATATTATCTACCTGTGTGTCGTAATTGGTGGCAGGAGTTTAGATAAGGGGTGTCTGTTTGTTGATGTGGTGTAGGTGAGGGGTGTAGTGTGTGTGTGTGTGTGTGTGTGTGTGTGTGTGTGTGTGTGTGTTTGCGTGTGTTGATGGTAATTTCTGTCTCCTGAACATTAAGACATCCCTGCTTATTTTACCCGACGATTAAACACCCTAACCTAACCCAGCTTAACCTAAGCTAACCTCAAAAAATCTTAACTTAACCTAACCTAACATGACATAGCATAATGCTAACCTAACCTAACCCCCAGGTAGCGTTAGAGTGTTTATTCATAGGGTGAAATAAGCTTGAGTGTCAAATCATCAGGTGATCGGATAATAAACCAAACTTATGTAGACTAATATAGCCTCTATGTGTCAACCATCCCAGATTCAGAATTGCCCCCCACGGGAGCTAGTTTATTGGGCACCTCCTTGCAAGGCAAAGCGCCAAAGAGTTTACAGCGCCCAACAGGGAAGCATGCTGAATTCATGCTTACCTTCTTTGTTTGACTCTTGCATTAAGGCCTCAAGTGCCTGAAGGGCCATGGATTATGTCAGCAAGTTACACACAGTGACAGAAGGATGTGTGTGTGTTGAGGGGGGGGTCTCGATACAAGTCGTCTGTTTATGGTAAAGCGTGGCCGATCCCTAATAATGTCAAGGAGGAGGAATATATGGTGTTGTAGTGACGGCTGGGGACCGCAAGGTCTCAGGACATGCGAAGATGTAGCCCGTAGCCAAGGTGCAGCCTCGTGTACACAATCTATTGGGACCGAGCCAGGGGCTAATACTCTCTGTAGTGGCGGTAGTCATCCAGTTACTGCGTCATAGTGGTGTAGTGAGGTACTTACCGATGTTTCAGGTGCGTCCAGTGTTCGTTGGATGTCTCACGGTATGTGGTGTGTATCAGAGATTTGAGATGATTGAGCGAGAGACTTCTACCGTATGTCCTCTTCTTGTGTCTCTTCTTTGGCAAGACGACTAGACAGTGTCACAAGCGGCTCTCCCTAGTATGCTCTAGCCCAGTGGTGACGGCTAGGGTGTGTTGGGCGGCAAGGGAGCAGGGAGATGGGCATTTGAGCCTCGCTACTGCAGAATTATTATCGCTCATGATAGAAGGTTCCGGCGTTTAGACCAGCAGCCTCCCGAGGGGTGAATGTCACGGCTGGACACTCGTGATAAAAACAGTGTCAGTAATAAAGGTTATCCTCTTCTGGTCGTGTGTGCGTGTGTGTGTGTGTGTGTGTGTGTGTGTGTGTGTGTGTGTGTGTGTGTGTGTGTGTGTGTGTGTGTGTGTCCTCCACCCCCCGGCGCTGCTGAAGTGTTATGACGGCGGGATAATGTGTGCCGTCAGCGATGTTTTTGTTCGCTATGTGTTCATATAACGTTATATGGCCGTTTCTTTCATTATATCCCCGGGAGATTAATGTAGCTGTGCTGCGTCGCTGAGTGTGTGACGTCTTTACTGTTATCGTGGTACTGTACTGTATATAACTTATGGAGCCGTGGATGAATCTTGTTGATATGTGACAGAGACATTCCCCGCCTTCCAAGATGACTGTGTGTGTGTGTGTGTGTGTGATGACACCATAGAGCCACTGGTCTTCATAACACAGGCCAGGGCGGGAGAGCTCCTTGTGTGGCATTCATGGTAAAGGTTGAGTGTCGGATGGTGCCCAGACCTCGTGGACTCCAGTACAGATAGGCCTCACCCTAACCTAACCTAACCTCTCTTGGCTATTATTATAATTGTTGTTGTTTTATTAGCAGTAACTATAATCAATAATAGTAGTAGTAGTAGTAGTAGTAGTAGCTATAGCGCAGGAGGTGAGAGCCTCGAACTGGTTAACTACGTTACCGATAAGGGCAAATGGTTTCAGTCTTAATAAACAAGAATTTACAGATGCCATTGCTCTAAGGTACGGTCGGCCAGTAGAAGGTTTGCCCTCCCAATGCGTGTGTGGCTCTTCCTATGATGGCGATCACTCCATGGTGTGCAAGAAAGGGGGCTTCATATGCATGAGGCATGACGAGGTAAGGGACCTCACAGCAAATATGTTGAAGGAAATCTGCCGGGATGTCATGGTAGAACCGACCCTCCTTCCATTGGATGGTGAGATCTTCCAACACAGGACTTCAAACACATCTAACGAAGCCCGTGTTGACGTCAGTGCTCGAGGATTCTGGACGCGGGGACAGCGAGCTTTCTTCGACATCAGGATTTTTTATCCCATGGCCGCATGTCACCGTAACCTAGCTCTCGATGCTGCACATAGGAGGAACAAGAACGACAAGAGAAGGGCATATGGGGAGAGAATTCAAAACGTTGATCAAGGCAGCTTCACTCCCCTAGTGTTCACAACCTCTGGTGGGATGGGACCAAGTGCAAGATGTTTCTACGCCAGACTCGCGGAGGTGTTATCCGAACAGAAGCATCAGCCCAGAAGTTATGTTACAGCCTGGATGAGATGTCGACTGTCCTTCTCTCTCCTTTGGTCGGCTTTGCTCTGCCTCAGGGGAACGAGAGCTTCTGCCCCAATGCCAACAACAGCTGCAGATATTGACTATGAGGCAACAGTCACTGAATGCCGCATAGATCTGCGGCTCAACTAATTTAACACAGATAGGATAGCTACTTATGTATTAGGATATTTAATACTAAGGTAATAAAATGGTGGCGAAGGTGTGGCTATTGGGGGAGGCTGGAGGCCACGTAGTAGTAGTAGTAGTATTAAGTGTGTTGGTAAAGGTCACTCAGCGTCAGGTGCCACAATACAACTTGAACAAATTGTTAAATGTTAAGTAAATTTGGGTCAGTAGGACAATTGTCTATTTGATTTGCGTCCGCCCGAGGAAGTTTGAACTGAGATCAAATTGTTCAGGTGTTGTAACCAGGAGGAGGAGGAGGAGGAGGAGGAGGAGGAGAATTAGGGGAAGGTGAATGTGGGGGAAGGGGAGGAGGAGGAGGAGGAGGAGAATTAGGGGAAGGTGAATGTGGGGGAGGTGTGGCTGGCGGAGAGGGAGAGGGAGGTGGAGAGAGGAGGAGAATGGCTGGAGGGAGGTGGAGGAAGGTGGGTGAAGGAGGGAGAGGTAGATAAGGGGGTAGAGGGAGGGTAAAGACAGTGACATATAAGATGTATGAGTGAAACAGAATAAACAAACAGTACAGGAAGTGGTGGTGAGTGGTGGTGGCAGTGGTGGTGGTGGCGGTGGTGGTGGTGGCAGTGGCAGTGGTGGTGGTGTGGTGGTGGCCGGTGAGGTGGCGGTGGTGGTGGTGTGGTGGTGGTGGTGGCGGTGGCCGGTGGTGGTGGTGGCAGTGGCGGTGGTGGTGGTGGTTGGCGGTGGTGGTGGTGGCGGTGGCAGTGGTGGCGGTGGTGGTGGTGGTGGTGTGGTGGTGGCGTGGTGGTGGTGGTGGCCGGTGGCAGTGGTGGTGGTGGCAGTGGTGGTGGTGGTGGTGGTGAGTGGCGGTGGTGGTGGTGGTGGTGGCCGGTGGTGAGGTGAGGTGAGGTGGTGGTGGTGGTGGTGGCGGTGGTGGTGGTGGTGGTGGTGGTGGTGGTGGTGGCGGTGGTGGTGGTGGTGGTTGGTTGGTGGTGGCGGTGGTGGTGGCGTTGGTGGTGTTGGCGGTGGTGGTGTGGTGTGCGGTGGGTGGGGTGGGTGTGGCCGGTGGTGGTGGTGTGTGGTGGTGGTGGTGGTGGTGGCGGTGGTGGTGGTGGTGGTGTGGTGGTGGTGGCGGTGGCGGTGGTGAGGTGGTGGTGGTGGCGGTGGTGGGTGGTGGTGGCGGTGGTGGTGGTGGTGGTGGTGGTGGCCGGTGGCAGGGTGTGGTGGTGGTGTGGTGGTGTGGTGGTGGTGGTGGTGGTGGTGGTGGTGGCGGTGGTGGTGGTGGTGGTTGGCCGGTGGTGGCGGTGGTGGTGTGGTGGTGGTGTGGGTGGTGTGGTGGTGGTGGTGGTGGTGGCGGTGGTGGTGGTGGTGGCGGTGGTGGTGGTGGTGATGTTCGTGTTGTTACTGTTGTTGTTGTTGTTGCTGTTGGTTTTCTTGTTGTTGTTAATTTAATATGCTTTAAACTGCTGCAAGATGGCAGTTATATGTTGTTATAATAATAATAATAATAATAATAAACCGAAGAAATTTATATAATTTTGTTACTACTGCTACTACTACTTTTTTTCTTTTTTTTATGGCCTCCAGCCTCCCCCAATAGCCACACCTTCGCCACCATTTTATTACCTTAATATTAAATATCCTAATACATAAGAAGCTATCCTATCTGTGTTGAATTAGTTGAGCCGCAGAGCTATGCGGCATTCAGTGACTGTAGCCTCATAGTCAATATCTGCAGCTGTTGTCGGCGTAGGGGCAGAAGCTCTCGTTCCGCTGAGCCAGAGCAGAGCCGACCGAAGGAGAGAGAAGGACAGTCGACATCTCATCCAGGCTGTAACATAACTTCTGGGCTGCTGCTTCTGTTCGGAGATCACCTCCGCGAGTCTGGCGTAGAAACATCTTGCACTTGGTCCCATCCCACCAGAGGTTGTGAACACTAGAGGAGTGAAGCTGCCTTGATCAACATTTTGAATTCTCTCCCCATATGCCCGTCTCTTGTCGTTCTCGTTCCTCCTATGTGCAGCATCGAGAGCTAGGTTACGGTGACAAGCGGCCATGGGATCAAAAATCCTGATGTCTACTACTACTACTACTACTACTACTGCTACAATATGTACATAATATAATATATAATGGCCTCCAGCCTCCCCCAATAGCCACACCTTCGCCACCATTTTATTACCTTAATATTAAATATCTTAATACATAAGTAGCTATCCGAGCTGTGTTGAATTAGTTGAGCCGCAGAGCTATGCGGCATTCAGTGACTTGCCTCATAGTCAATCTCTGCGACTGTTTTTGGCCTTGGAGTCGAAGATCTCGTTCCCCTGAGTCAAAGCAATGCAGACCTAAGCAGAGAGAAGGATAGTCGACATTTCAACCAGGGTGTAACATCTTCTGGGCTGCTGCATAGAAACATCTTGCACTTGGTCCCATCCCACCAGAGGTTTTGAACACCAGAGGAGTGAAGCTGCCTTGATCAACATTCTGAATTCCCCCCTCTTATTCCCTGTTCTTGTCATTCTCGTTCCTACTGTGTGCAGCGTCAAGAGCTAGGTTGCGGTGACATGCGGCCATGGGGTGGAAATCCTAATGTCAAAGAAGGCTTGCTGTCCCCGCATCCAGAATCCTCAGGCACTGACGTCCACACGGGCTTCGTTGGATGTGTTTGAGGTCCTGTGGTGGAGAGTCTCATCATCCGATGGAAGAAGGGTCGGTTCCACCGTGATGTCATGGCAGATTTCCTTCAACATGTTTGCTGTGAGATCCCATACATCGTCATGCTTCATGCATACCATGTCGTATGGTGAGCCACACACGTATTGGAAGGGCAAACCTTCTACTGGCCAACCGTACCTTAGAGCAATGGCAACGATGAATTCTTCTTAATTAAGGCTGAAACTTTT